AACTTAAACTAATCAGTTTATTAATCCCCTGATATGGATTATCCAGTTGGTAACTATGGGCAGGTAGGGTGTGGCTGGAGGAGAAGGGTCCCTAGACGCATTCCTTTGGGGTATATATATTTTGTTCTTGTGAGTAGAACTCTCTGCCAGGCCCTGAGCTGCTTCCTCCACAACACTATTCTGCCATGATGGTTTGCCTCACCTAGTGCCTAAGGCAATGGAGATGGTGGTCTATAGATAGAGACCTCTGAAATTGAAGGTCAAACTTTTCCTCCTCTAAAATCATTCAGGTTGGGTCTTTGGGTAGCAGTGGTGAAAAAGCTGACTAAAACACCAACATAAGCTCAAAGCCTAAGTTCATCCATGAAACCCAAGCCTTTGTAACACCAAAAGGCTAAGACTTCTATTAATGGAAAACTTGCTACCTGGTGCCTTCTTTAGAATTATTTAATGAGAGCTGAATTTAATATTAGGAAACTTCTTAAATATACCCAATCTATCAGCAGTGAAACCAATGTTAAGTTCAACCATTAAAAATCTCAAATTATTTATGAATGTCAGTATATTTGGTTAAACCCATAAATCACTTATGCATTATTGTGGACTACCTAATGTAAAGAGCCTATGTATGGCCTTTTATGAGCTTTGCCAACATACCTTCACTGTGCCATGTATAGAAAAAATTAAGAAGAAGTCTAAAAACAAAAGATCTTCAAAGAAAATATATACTAGACTGGAAAATACAAAAATTATCTTTCAATTCAAATAACAACATTATTATCTTGATGTAGGTTGCTGAATGAGATAGAAGACATAAATAAGGTTATAAAAAATTACAGAAGCATTAAATGCCTGAAATTTTTTAAGGTAAAAACCAATGATAAACTTAGAGYGATCTAAACTAATAAGGACTAAACTAAGTTAGAGAAAACTAGGTGGGTTTATACTAATCCCTAGATCCTGGAAGAAGCATGTGAAAAAGGGTGCAAACTAATAACAAGAATAATTTAAAAGAATCATCCAATGCTTATAACAGTCTCAAGAAAAACATACTAAGATTTGAATAGCCATGGATATAGTTTTTCATTAATAGTCATTCCAAACAGATGAAATTGCCACACAGGTGCCCAAAACATGATATAATGTGAGGGACCCTGAGTAAGCGCACAGGTACTAATAAACAGAAGTGGTGTGTGAACAGCAGAACAGCACTTGCATTTTCCAATAGACACCATTACAGTCTACAAGTTTCAGACTGGCACAGTTTATGAAACTGGCAGAAAAGACAGAAGATGAATTATTTAAGTAGGAATTATAAGAAGCCAAAATGAGTATTTAAAGAAATTATACCAAACTAACTTCATGTCTTTCATTAATAGCCTAAGTGAAGACCATGAGTGTAAAGTAGCACTTAGATTCCAGTGTAAWAACAGACATTTGGATATATGCACAGGGTACTCTAGTAACAAAGAGGAAGGACACTCAATTTTGTATCAAACAATAAGAGAGTTAGGGAGACTTGTTGGGAGACTTGCTGTCAGAAGAAAGTCACTGGAGGTGTGGATCTTGTCCATGATTCTTCCTATAAGAGCTCTCTCTGCTGCTTCCTGGCTGCTATAAGCTGAATCGATTTCTTCTGCCACACCCTTGTGCCAGGACATTTCTGAGTATGTACTTTATATGGCAAAAAAAGACTTTGCATATATGATTGACATTCTTGAGATGGGAATTTATCCTGTATTGTCCAGGTAGGTGCAGTACCATCAAAGAGTCCTTCTAAAGGGAAGCAGGAGGATCAGAGAAGAAGTTAGGATGACAAAAGCAGAATTAAAAGTATGGCTTGGCCATATACCAAGGAATATAGACAGTTTACAGAATCTGGAAGAAGCCAGGAAATAAATCCTSCCTCATGAGCCCTCAACAGGAGTGTGGCTCTGCTTTACCCCCATTCTGAACCTGTGGTCCCGATCCAAATTTATAATACAAAAAATCTGTGTTGCTTTAAGCCACCAAGTGTGCAGTAATTTGTTATAAAAGCAAGAGAAAACGTAGTCCTATTTCAGGAAACTGAGGAATAGAAAAATCAATAACTATCCACAATCACATATCCAGTCAGAGGTATAGATAGGATTTAAAGTTAGATCATGGTCATGTATCATCAATACATATATAAAGATATATGTAGGATTTTTTAATGAAACCTTGAGGGTGGCAAATTACCATCTTTTATTAAAAGAATAAAAGGAAAATTCATGTGGGCCATGAAATACTAAATAAATGTTTAAAAAACAGCCTTTGGAAAAGATCTTCAAAATACATGGCAAAAAAAGTTTCAGAACAATATATTTTTAAAATTGTCCATATGATCGTGCATACAATTGTTAATTCAAAGAAATAGAATAAAAAGTCCAACTGTTCAGAATGACAATTTGTGTGAAATTAAGTGAGGCAGGTGGAGAGAGGGAACATTCCCATTGTATTCAATATTTTTTTGTTATTTAAATAGTTTACACCAAGAATATTATGGTATGTTTTTAAATGGCATTTTTAATCCAGGAAAAAATGCATAAGCTTCCTACATTTTTTTTTTCCCAAAAAAGAAAAGAGGCCTCCACAGCATAAAGTTTAAAAGGCCTGCCCTACAGTGACACCAAATGGTAGCATATCAAAATACAGTACACAAACAGGACATTTGTTCCATTCAATCTTCCTATAAATGTTTGATTCCTTTGAAGAACAGGCAGCTGAACAAAAATAATATGAAGAAAAATACTCAGAAACCTAGAATTTTTAATCAAAGAAAGTCTAGTACACCAAACTTCAAATACACATTTTTAGGTCTCTTTCCAAACTTCAGCTAATCTTGTGATCCCATTGAATATTTACATAAATCATTTCTCACACATTTAAACCATGTCACTGTGAACACAGTGATTTTACGTAATAGCTTATTGATCAAAGCAACCCTGCAAATATAAAAAAAGCAATTATACAACTAAAGTCAAGTTCTACTCCACAGAAACCAACCTTCAGAAAGTAGGCCATATTTTGGTGAACAGATGAGAAATGTTGGGACTGAAAGTGGGGAATTAGGAATAAAATAAGTTACAGGATACTGACCCAATCAGTGAAGAATTTCTTGGAAATATTTTTTTTCATCCCTTAACCAGATGACAGAAAACTAAGYTGAATAAAATAGAATGCTACTACATCCCAAATATAAACTGATTTCTTAAGAAATTATTCTGCTAAACTGTCCAGGGAAAAGAATATTTCAAATTTAAACACTTCAGTCAATATTCAGCTCCCACTAACAGAAACTAATCAACACATAAAAACAGAAGGTAAATTGTCTTCTTCCATATAAACTACTTCAAAAAGTCATGAATATCAATCCCCTCCCAGAGCACTCCTCTAAAATATCATTTGGCCAGAACCCTTAGTATCTCAGCATTAAATGACAGTTTGTTTGGATTTTTTGATGTATTATTTTTCACATGCCAACATCTCCTAGAAAATAGACAACATATAAATATATTACCAGTTACAAAAACAAGTCAATATCATTAACATCTAAAGTCCTAAATTCATACCATTGGATTTCAAATCTATATTTCAAAACCAAGTAGAAGAGAAAATTTTAATTGTTATCACTATATAAAGTGGTTAATGTTAAAGAGGTGATGAATATGCTCACTATCCTGATTAGATCACTATATAATGTGTGGATGTATCGAAAAATAACAGTGTACTCAGTAAATAAGTAGAATTCATAYATGTCATTTAAAAATACATCTTATTTTAGAATACATGACCAGTGATACTCCACATCATGTAGAATCACAAGAATGGAATCCAAATTAGAGTAAGTTATACTCCTTGTTGGTAAAATATGTCAAAATACACCCTATTTATCATGTATATCTAAAAAGAACATATGTACGTACATACATACATACATACATACATACATACATACATACATAAAATTAGAAGAAGCACTAAAAGAAAAATGTAGGGCTGGGCCTTAGTTCAGAGACAGACTATGCACTTAGCTTGTGCAAAGCTCTGGGTGTGATTACCAGTACCACCAAAAAAAAAAAAAAACAAATTTACTGGACCACCAGCCATATTTCATTATCTCACTAGCACTACACAATAACACATAAAAAGATGGTCAGCTCTAGAAATGTTTGAGTGCTTTTCTCACCAAAGAGGTCCATGTCTAGTCATAAAGGACCACAAGGAGAATTAATTCAGTGGAGTGTCTGGTAACATATGAACAACTTAACTCGCCATACCATAAAATTACCCATGTTTGCTAGACCCACATTAGGGACTGTTAATTACACAAACTGGCAAAATCACCATTAAGAAATTTTTTCTTCCAATTTCCAAGGAAGAAATATGAAAATGAAATAAAATCCAGGGAAACATGAAGAAAACAGACAAATCAAACAGTTTAGTGGTTGGAACAAAGCCTCAAGGATATGCAATTTTTATGGAAATTGGTATAATATTCTAAATTAGAACAGATAATATACTTGATCTTAGCCAAAAGATAAAGAAACAATTATATATGATATTTCTGATCTGAAATTTATAAAAGGAATAAAAGGCCTATAAATCTGTAAGTAATATAGAATAAAAATAACATAAATTTCAAATTTGTAGATTAGTCATGATACATTCTAACTGGTCTTTGGCACTAGCTCCTCATACTTTAGATATGTTATTTTTTGCATTCTGCCTTTCCATTAAAAAGAAAACAATGCAAATGAACACCAATATCTTGGTAGAGCTGCATCAGGACAGAGTTTCAATATACTATTTTAAATCAAGATAATTTCCCATGAATATCCTTAGGTTTAAAAAAAATCCAGCAAGATGAATATTAAATGTATGTGGGTAAAAGTGAGGAAAAGCTTCAGATTTTCTTTCTCTGGTTCTGCACAGTAGAAAAGAAAACCATCAAAAGGGTTAACCCTGATAGTACTCACCACAACAGCAAACTGCTCAGGTTCACATAAGTTGTTATAGTCACTCTTGAACTGAGACAAGGAATTTAATTGCTCTTGATCAGGAAGATGCTTTAATAAGTTCTAAAAATTGAAACMAAAATAAAATATCTTCACTCAATGAGCTTTCTAAATTTTATGAAAATTAATAAACTATGAAAAGGAAACCAGTGAAGAAGTTAATCTTTAGTTTTATTTCTCAGTAACCTCCTTTACATCAAGCCGTAAGCAACACTCTCTGCATCTTGGAAACAATTTTCTTTTTTCTCTATCCCAGAATTATTATATATTCAAATCAAGCACTACTGAATGTTTATTTGATTAACTTACAAATGAGAAAGAACTCAAACTTACAGCAAAGGAACAGCTTTCTCACCTGGATAGATGTGATCCATTACATTTCAGCTTTAGGGAATTAAATGTCAGAAATTTCAGGCAAAGCCAAACATATTTTAACACTTCACTCAGAGGGATAAAAGAAATCACCATATTGCTAGTAAAAGGCAAGGAAAAGGATAGAAAAGAAATCAAGGAAATTTTAATGGCAGTACTTGTAAGATTTAACCAGTAGGATTATGTTTTAATAATAAAAACTGAAGGTACCACTAAAAGACAAAGTAGCTTTTCTGACATGAAAAAAAAATTTAAAAGACATGGCAGATATAGGATGATATACTTGCAGATAAAACATATAAAGAGGTCCCCTAGGAACTTAAGTGTCCATGGCTCAAAAGGCCCTTTAATGGTAGCATCTGCATTCTATAAATCATAGTTTCCTTTGGCTGCTCTGGCTCCTTTTTCTATGCACAGCCTTTCCAAGTCACACACTTAAATAAGAGACTACTTGAAAAAATACTAGGGGGATACACGTAATTACACTTTCCCAATAGAACATAAATGTTTAAACAATCTCTTAGACAAAGTCTATATAGCCCTCCATACAAAATATACTCAACCATAATAATGATATAACTAGTTAATGTAGTGATATTAAAATTAAGGGGAAAAAAGAGTGGTTGGTGCTCACAATTCCAAATTATGTAATTTTGTATAAGCCCAACATCAAGCACCAATTATAATTAAGCCTATAACATGCTATATGTATGTGTGTGTGTGTATATATATATGCCAATATATTTATATTGGCAGAAAACATATATAGAGAGATCTTTTCTGCCAATATATATATTGGCAGAAAAGAATTCCTAAGGTGTTATTAGTTAAAAATACTGGTAGAGAACGCTATCCATCAAAAGAAGTAAGAACAAAGAAAAAGAACTCCCTGTATACCTTCGCATAAAAACTTGGTTGACTGGCCAAAAACAAAAAGGTGGCAATGAAGGATCATCTCTAGAAAAAGTATTCACAATTAATATTAGGCAAAGTGAACAAAAACAATGCATATGATTTTTCCACTAAAGTAGAAATGTCTCTTAATGGAACTGCCTGAGAGCAAACACATAATTGTTTATATTTTCTTTTAACCATGTGAGCAGTTGGATTGCCTATGTTGTTTATTATATTGAATCTCCAAATTTCTTCAGCATTGTTTTAGATGAATATCAAATCTCTGTGAATTGTTTAGTTAATATATAATTAGATTTTTAATATTTCTTCAGAAATTTGTTCATATTATTGTTTATGTGTTCTAATGTTAAAAACTATTAGGATGTGTATGAGTACAGGCTCAATCTACCCTTGCTTTCCCCTTACCAAATTTCCCATGCTCCTCAATCTACCCTTGCTTTCCCCTTACCAAATTTCCCATGCTCCCTATAAATCTCAAAGTTATTATCCAACTAAATTCTACAAGTTGTCCTAGCACACCCAGTTTTTGCCTCCTACCTCAGTTTACTATTGTAAATATAGCTGCATTTAGCTAAATTTTTCATCCAATCCCCACCCTGTTTTACATTCATGCCTTATATGTCYTTGAAGTGCCCTTGCCTCCATATACACCACACAGAGTGCATACTCCCACTTGCTTTCTAGTTCTAAACCAATTTTGATTAAATTATGCTTATTTTATWTTTTAATTATGTGTGTAAATGTCATCTCCCTTAGCAAAATACAAATTTTAAGGTGATGTCTACCTCTAATAGAGCCTAATACAATGCATGGTGATACAATAAAATACTTTTAAAAAGTCTGATGGGATTGAGTCTTTTATTTTCATTTATTTATTTTAGGTTTTAAAAAACTCATAAAACTGGTATTTACCAAGCATAGGTATGCACAATAACGACATCCATTCATCCATGATGCCCATGTCTACTCACAGAACCTATGAAAATATTACGMTGAATTGCAAAGGGAAGTAAGCTGACAGATGGACCAAGGTGACTCTCAGCTGAACTCAAATTAGGGTGAATATACTGGATTATCTGACATACTCATGTAATCACAGAAGTCCTCAAAGAGAAAAACTAAAATAAAGCAATAGCATGAGGGAGAAGCATCCATGAAATAAAGCAACAGAAGGCAAACTGGGTGGTTTGAAAGATGAAAAGGCCCTGGAGTTCAGGACAGTTGGCAACCATAATCAGCTGCAAAGACAGGTATGGAGTTTTCCCTAGAGCTTAAATGAAAGAATAAAAATCTGTCAACACCTTGACTTCACCACAGGAAGGGCAACACCATATTCTATACAAGTGTAAGATATTAAATTTGCACTACTTTAAGCTATTCAGTTTGTGGTGAATTGTTGTAGCAGCAATAGAAGACTAATACATTAAGAAATTATTATTGCTAATTATTAAGAATTAGCAAAGTTGAAACTCTTTGGACATAAATTTTAAAATGCAGATGACCTTTTTCTATCTCTAGACAACAAAAGCCACATGATCATCCAAAACATTCATGTAATCAAGTGAAGAGCTACTCTAAATATTTAACGAAATCATTATAAGAAATACAAACATGTATTAAGTAGAAAGATTTTCTTTAAGGAACTTGGCATCTGCTCCCAGCAAGAAGCCACATACACAATCAACAATAATACAGACAAAAATTCAGTTGGGAAAAAAAATGCTAGAGGGGGGAAAAAGATGCCTAAAAAAGAGCTATTGAATTAGGTAGTTTATGAGTGTCTGAGAGACAGCATGAATCACAAATGACAGAATATAAACAACAAACTTRGAAGACAAAATAAGGAGAGACAACTGAGAACAACTTCTAAAGATTCATTCATTGACGGGTTAAAATATCTAAAATAATCTTAATCATTTGYTGATATAATAAATAGCCCATGGTTCTTTGTTATTAAAAATCCATTTTTGCAAACATATTCTTATCAAAACAAAAGAGCATGAAATGAAGATACTCTCTCAAATACAATTTGTGTTTTGATTCTCCAACTTCAAATCTATTGATATATATACTTGATTTCTTAGTAGAATTCAGTAAGTAACCTTAGTACCACATTACCATGCATTTAAAAATACAGCAGGCAAGAATCATTTAAAAAGTGTTCCAGCTGGACACGGTAGTGCACACCTATAATCCCAGAGGCTCTGGAGGCTGAGGAAGGAGAATCAAGAGTTCAAAGCCAAGCTTCATCAACCTAGGAAGGACTTAAACAACTCAGGGAGACCCACTGTCTAAATAAAAGAGCAAATGGGCTTGGGATGTAGCCCAGTGTTTAAGCTACCCTGGGTTCAAATCCCTGGTGCCAAAAACAAATAAATAAGTAACTAAATAAATAAAAATAAAAAGTACTCCAGCTTTCTCAGTGAATTCAGAGCACCATGCCAACAAATCCTTAACACCTATATGAGCACCAATGACTCTAAAGGAGTTCTTAGTGAATGAGACTAAGTAAAATCTCCCTCAAGCTCCTATACCAAACAATAACACAACTTCATAAACCTAAGGAAAACAGAATCTACAAAGGCTGTAAAACAAATTTAAATTAACATATCACAAATGTTAATTGTAACACAAATACATATGTAAAATTAAATTTGCCTTTCAGAAACAGTCATTTAAAATAATTGAAATGTAATGATTTTGATAGCATTATATTTAGTCTGCACTTGAGAAAGATGCAGTTTTATCTTCTGGCAGTGCAGAAGTTATGCTAAAGCTAATTATGCAGTAATGATTTTCCAGTTGAATGATTAGGGTTAAAAATTATGCTTCACTTACAGATTTCTATTTAATGAGAAGTTTGCAATAAAATACTGAAATCTAGGCTCTGTTTGTTTACCTGAATCACAGACTCTGCCAACTGTGTTTCATCCACTTCCAATATCATCGTTTTTATTTCCTCATATGGCACCCGAAGAGAGCTCAGAAAGATTGCTGAGAGAGGAAAAAAGGTTCATAATGAATAAGAAAATGAAGAAATTTGAGATGAAATTCTATTTATAAGATCAAGTATAAATTCATAAAGAGAGAACTTATTCCTTTAGGATAGTTATCATGGGGGAGGTGGCTTTCATTAGTAGATTTTATGTTCTCTACACTTGTAGAACTAGRATTTAAACAATAATCCTGTATTATGATGCAGAAACCAAGGTCAGTTTTCAAATGCTTAGTTATTTGTCTAGCATAGGAATGTGCCAAATTTCATGTGATTTAAAAGAACTAAAATATATTAGATACACTGTAAAGCAGCACACTGTTATGAAAAGAATGATAAAAACCCAGTATGTACATGTAATATTTGTCTAAACATGTGTTATTGCCTTATCATATCTTCCAGTTCTACTAAATAGTTCGGAAAACAACATTTTTAAGAGTACTACACACTAACACTTTCACAAAGAATAACTTTTACTATTCAGTAGTATTGTAAATAATATACTGGAGAAAGAGCATTTACATGTAATTAAATCTTAAAGTATACATTTTATAAAATAAATTTTCATGAAAATTTATCCAAATAAATTTTGAGATAACATATTACAGAGAATTTCATATATTACTTAAATTTTTCTTGATACTTAAATAATTAGTCTTATAATGATATTGTCAAGGACTTTTGAGTAATATAAAGATATTTCACAAAATTCAATATGATGCTTTTCCTATTCCCCCTTTATTCTACTATTATCTTTCCATGTTCAAAGATGTAATTTTTTTTTACCATATTCAGCACTGACTACCATCATCCTTTTAATTTTTTTTAACTTAGTAAAGTATGCCATCTTGTCTATGGATAATGTTATTTGCATCTTTCTTGGATTATTTTTTTGTTGAGGAGAGCATGTATCAATTACAGATAAACAACAAGGGCAACTTTTTTGTTCTTATCAAAAACTTCAATCACACATTTCAGAAAGCAAGGAATCAAAATATGTGATCACTGTGCTAGGAATTATGGATGCCTGTTACCCTCAATATCCCATGAGTGAGATGAAACAGAGGATCTAAAAGATACTAACAGATATTCATATGGGAATAACTCTAGTATTGTTACCTAAAATTCACACACACACACACACACACACACACACACAAATATATATATGATCTAAAAGGGATAATAAATGAATGGCAGGTTACAAAATAATCCTTACATCATTTACAAAGAAAGATGTAGGTAAATAATATTCATTTGTGATTAGAGAAGAACATGTTGGGTATAAAAAGCAATGGAAAACATGAAAAGATTTCTGTTTGATGACATTTACCAAAAATATTTAAAAAAAAAAACATAAAAATCTATCTACCTTAGAATTCACAGAGTATCATTCTTTCTTCAAAGATAGTCATCTAAAATAATATCAATTAACATGAGGTTGAAATATGAAACAGGGCAAAATTCATGAAAATCAAAACAGTAAGAAATAAAAGTGATGAATAAATAAATGTAATGTGTTAAGCCTCAGAAGCCAGCAAATTTAGAAGATGAACTGTTAAGATGGGTCTGGTTTATAAACTTAGATTAACGTGAAGCTTTGACACTACTGATGCCTTCTGAAAAACAACAAATTCTATCAAGATACACTATCTATGGATACAATTAAAAATATAGAAAAGATTAGGTGTGGTGGAACACACCTGTAAGTACAGTGGCTCAGGAATYGGGGGCAGGAGAATCATAAGATGTTCAAGGTAAATAATATTTCAGCCTCAGCAACTTAGTGAGGCCCTAGGCAACTCATTAAAACCCTGTCTTTAAATAAAAGTATTTAAAAAGGGCTGGGGATGTGGTTCACTGGTTAAGTGCCCCTGGGTTGAATACCTGATACCCAAAAACAACAACAACAAAAATACAAAAGGCTGAAAGGCTAAAGGGAAAAATCAAAATTACTCTGGGACATAATATAGGAATTGGGAAAGAAAGGTATTATAGTTTTATACTTCAGGTAGTATGACAAAGTATAATACATTCCAGAAATATCTAAAAAGCATGTTTTTAATCTTAAAAGCATTTTCAGGATATCCTGAAAGATAAGAAAAGTAATAATCCTAGGAGAAAACAATTATTTACAGAAATGAAACAATTGCTGGAAATATTGGGATGGGGTAGTATCAAAAAGACTCACTGAAAATAAAACAAATTGAGAAAGAAAACAGTAGAACTTTTAGAAATAAAAAATACATGTATTAAAATTGAAAACTCAACATATACACRGATTAGGCATCTGATGAAAAGAAAATCGGTAACATCAATTGGGTACCCATAAGCACAGTCATCTAAAATGACTTAAAAATAACAGGTTGAGAGACACAGAGGTAGGGATACCTTTAAAAGCCCAATAGAGGGTCCAAACATAGATCACTCAGGGTACTAGAAAAGAAGCATACTTAAGGACATCATGTTCAACTAAGTAAACCAGACCTAAACAAACAAACAAAAAAGGATGAGTATCGTTATGTTCCCTCTAATATAAGGAAGATTAAAAAGAAAGGAAAAATAAATAAAAGTTCACCTGAAAGTAGAAATAGTGTGTGTCGGCAAGGGCAGACAAGGGTGGGCGTAGGGTAGGGGGGAGGCATGAGGGTAGAAGAAGGGTGGATGGATATGATTAATATATACTGTATGCATGTATGGACAAACCACAACAAATCCCACTAAGATACAATTAATGTGTCAATTAATAAGTATACATTTAAAAATAAGCATTTGAAAAGTAAATGCTGAGAATTTTTCAGCATTACAGAAAGACAAACATCGTCAGATCAAGGAGGCTCAACAAATGCCAAATGTGTTAAGTAAAGAAAACAAATCTAGTGTCTTCTAAACCACCAAGCACTGGGGAGGTAAAACAGAAACAAGCATTGTTGAGGCAAGAGTAAAGCGGTACAAATACACAACAGTTGACACAGCCGGGGATGACACACAGTATGTCACAAATACCAACTCAACTAGTATAGCTCAAAAGCAGCCATAGACAATATATAAGCAAATGCCCTGTTAATATTTCAATAAAACTTTGTTTATAAAACAGGCAGTAGAACAGGTTTAGCATGAACATCACCTAAATGTCAACTACACCTTGAATGAATCGAGTGTAACATTCCAAGAATGTAAATCCTGTATTGCAATGGAGATGATTATCCTATACCTGAATGAATTAACATGGTCTGGGATTTTTAAGATTCCAAATCAAACATGTTTAGGAATATGTATATAATTAGTAAAACTACCCMAAAAAAGTGCTTAACTGAACATGATGATAAGGTTACTTCTCACAGGAAAAGGGATAAAATTGGAGAGGGACATATTTAAGCCTCTAAAGTAGAGGCAATGTTTTCTTTTAACTATGGATGTTTTGTTTATTATTAAATTGTATCATATATKTTATGAATCTCTCATGTGTAACATATATATCCTAATGATATAAAATAATTTTAAATGAATAGGAAATTTTTTAGAAATATGATAATGTGAGATAAAGGATTAATTATACCCAGCTAAGGTCTGCCTGACCTTATTGCCTATAAAATGAGGTACTCTCTAAACCACTGGAACATCCTGCCTGATGTTCTTTAATACCTGGAGATACTGGGCCAAACAACATAATCTATGGTTACAATGTGATTTCTAGTGTGGGTTTTGAGCCTCAAACTTTTACCTCTTCTTGTACAGAGGTTAGAAATTGGGGTCATTAATATAGGAGTTGAACTATGACCAAGTCTCTGTAAAAACCCTAACCACGAAGGGGGCTTCTCTGCTTCACAATACTCTGAGCATTGTCATAAGTCATTGCCGGCAGAAGTAAAAAATGACCACAACTCCATTGAGAGAGAGATCAAACCTTCACATTTAGAACTCTTCTGGACTCCGCCCCTGCACCTTTCTTTCCCTGACTGATATTAAYCTACCATTTTGCTAAAATAACAATGCGTAAAAAAAATTAAGTTCTGTACATAATTTTAATTACTAATGAAACCTGGAAGTGTTCTTGAACCTCTAACTTTACAAAGGGGTCAGAAGTGAGTGTGGTATTGGTGGACCTATTAACTTCACAGTTGTTTAATCAGTAACGTTAATAGGTCTACCAGTACCTGTGAAGTTAGTGGTTCTCACATAATGAAGTAAGTAAATACCAAAAAGGATGAGTAAAACATGTAAATAACACACTATACATCATAGTAACAAATAAAACACAAATATATATATAAAGTTAGGAAAATTTGCTTTGCAGATTAAAATAGCTTATTCTTTTTATTTTCTCCTATATTTGTCATTTGTCCACAACTTTCAAGTTTCTATAATTAAAACATAATACCCTATTAATATATTCATAAAGATCAAAATAAGGTTTTAATAGTCTACTAATTAATTGATTGTCTTTTGGAAAGCAATTGCTGTAATAACTATTGGGGGGTATGCCTAAGAGACAATTCGAAAGACAAGTATAGACTTTATTTTTTAAAAAACTTAAAAGTTACTGAGAATAGCATAAGAGATACTCAGTTAAAATTTCCAAAAGGCCCATTAAAATGAATCTTTCTACTAACATACATCTTATCCTTCAAAATGTGATTATATAGATCCCAGTAGGAAGCTTTGGGTTCAGTTAAGGAGTGTAAARTGTGCAGATTTGAGAACCAGTCATGCTTGTTTTCTATAAAGAAATTTATAAATATTTAAACCTTTACATTCATTTGTAGATTCCAGGGTTTCTCCCATTACAGCTCTTAAATTCACTCAAGGAAAAAAAAAAACCTGGTTAACATCATGAATCTTATAAAACTCCTGAGACTTCTCCTGATCCTGGAATTCTATCACTAATGATGAGCCCAGAATTTTTGCCAAAATCTTTGTGAACTGAAAATATAGGAAACCTAACCTATCTTTAAATAAAGTAGACAAATAAATGAGTAACTAATAGATTCTTTCCTCAAAATTCTCAAAAATTTTTCAGTTAGGAGAAATCTAAGAGAACTTATCTAGTACCGACCCATTATTTTTCTCTTCTATAAAATTTAGAAGTAAATCTCTCCATTTTAGTATATTTCTATTACTGACCACAGCTTTACTCCAAGTTGCCTCATTCTAAAACAGTACCACTATCAACACTAGCTCTGCTCAGAATTTATCATCTTAAGGCTGAATTTTATAGACAAAACCCAGCTGTGAATCCAACTATAATTACAGTAAAGATTATAGGCTGCCAAAGTTTCATGAAGCTTCAATCATAACACTTTTTCCTACAATCTGAGAAAGCAAGAATAATCCTATAATGGATTCTCATCAGACATGATATAAATTCTGGATCTTTTGATATTGTACTTTGTAACTTGTTTGTCAAATTAAACAAATGGGATATATATCCTCTGGCTAAAGCATATTACAAACAGGATGTTTCTCTATAAGAATGTGATTTTGTAATCTGTAAGCAGGAATAAATAAAACTATACCTATTTAAACATTTTCAAAATGAGCAACCTTATTCAAGTCAMCTAACTGCAAAACCCTCCAGATTTTCCACCTATAATGTCAATGCTAATACCTACCTGGAAGAGTTAGTCAATAGTTATTAGTATATGCTATTAACTATCTAGCACATCCTATTTAGCACATGCTATATAATGTGTAATAATGAATAACCTTGCCCAACAAGTCAACTGAAATAAATATTTAAGCTAAGTCATCCTGGCTGATCTACTCAGAAAGTACAGCTTTCAAAATGATATTTCTTCGGGAACCATGACAAAGTTATTTAAAGTCAAGACTAGCAATGTATAACGCAGACCATGGATATTTTTCAAAACAAAACACCTGTTTCTGATCTCTGAGTTAGAACTTTTTGACATTACTATGTTCTAGGGGTACCAGGGGGGGTGGTGGGAGGTCCTGAAATGATTGTATCATGTAATAACTCCCAAATTTTCAGGGGACTAATAAGCACATACACACACACACACAAATATTTTCCATTGAAACTATGTGTCTATCACACACAAGAGAGGCAGAGCTGTATTAATCATGATCCTCTTTTCGGGATGGTGAACAACACTTTGACTGCCATTCTGGGTGCCAGGGAAAAGAGATTCACTGAAGTGGTCATCACCAATCAAATGTTTCTACCCAAAATTGATGTCACCTCACTTTTTGATTGACCCAAATGTGCCACATGTTGGTACTTAACATGGAAGAGGCAAGGATGAGCAATTTGTGCTCAAAATGAGAATAAAATATTGTGTAACAGCATTAATACTTTCACACTGTTTTGTATGGGTGGTAGTCCAGCCTATACTATAGAAAAGTGATGACCCTCTCTCATGGGAAGGATGAAGGGGAGTCATTTCTAAAACCTTCATAAAAAGGAATGTCAATCATATCTTCTTCATATATTACCTCTTATATAACTCTCTTTAATCAATAGTCTGAATCTTTATCCTCTCACTGAAAAACTGTTTTGTTCCAATATTACTAAAAACTCACTTGAGGCATGTGATAATTAATAGRTGGACTAAAAGTCATGTTTACTTGCTTCATCCCACTATATTCTCCACATTATATCCCTCATGTACTATAAGAAAGTAATGGTCATATTATCTCAGGTCCAAGCAGAACTATCCTTGGTATATTTAAGATCCAATTACAAATGAGTTAGGAGCAAAACTATTGAGCTTCTTTTCTCACAGTAATTCAGTCAGGAAGACAATTCAAAACTAAGTATTTAGCTCCTGTAAGAGTAATTAAATCAAAAATATTTCCAGTCAGTACTTTTGAAGAAAGGGTTTGAACTGCTCAGATGGGAAAATGAAATTCATTTTATCATCATCCCTATTTCCATTAATATTCTAAACTCCTTCATTTGTGATCAAGTATCACAAATAATAGATTCGGAAGAATATAACAGAAATGATATATTACCAATTTTTTTWAAAAATATGTTATTACTTGAATTCCTTGTTTTTATTTTTATACTCTAAAATGGGACTTGAAATTATAACTCTCTTTTCAATTATGGAAGATAGAAAATAGGAAAATGATTTAGGATGAAATCCTAACACACTAGTCTTTTGAAGAATTTAATCTCATAATTTGCAGAAGGGAGTGTTATCTTTGAAATTAAGCAAATATTAGAATTAAAACAACATAAAATGAAAAAGAAGTCATAAAATGAAATAAAAACACCTTTTGTATGTGTTTTGATAATAGTATTAAAAGTTGATACTTACAAAGGTTCTGAGCAATTTTAGAATCTAGAAATTTAAGTTCTTTAATCTTTTTCTTAATAGYTTTCTTCTCTTCAAAATCTTCTTCATCTCTTTTCTCTGTAAAACCAAGGACAGATCTATGTTAGGGGAAGTAAAGACACTGAAGTGCAAAAGAACAAAAAATAAACTTTCATCAAAAAAGCTTAAAAAAAAAAAAAACTTCTAAATCAGTTACAAAAGTGCATATTCCAAGACTCAAACTGTTTCAGATAAGCACTGGTGACCCTACCAGAGAAACTATTAAGAGTTAATATTTGAAGGAAAAAACAAAACTAATACACACTATGGAAACTAATACAATTATGCATAAGTATACAATATATAGCACACAATTACAAAAATCAATATACATACGATTTGAATGTATTAAGAACTTAGCACAAAGAGTGCTAAAATAAATCATATAGCTGTTGTTGTTGTTGTTATTGTTTTGGGGGTACTGTGGTTTAAACTCAGGAGCAATCAACCACTGGGCCAACTCCCCAGACTCATTTTGAATTTTATTTAGAGACAAGGTCTCACTGAGTTGCTTAGCGCCTCATTTTTGCTGAAGCTGGCTTTGAACTTGTGATACACCTATATCAGCCTCCCCAGCCACTGGGTTAACAGGGGTGCGCCACCACACCGGCTCTTATATCTGTTTTATGTTTGATATACCACATTTATTTAAGAATACACCTCCAATAAAATTGCATTATTATTTAGAAATTGTTTTTTAAATCTAAAAAGTCAAAATTTGATACTTGCTGATTTTACCTCAGTGTTCTAAAGATTAAGAAACAAATTTAACTACTTTATCCTTAACAGAAATATACAATAAACACATTATGCTACACAACAATATAAAAACATGAGGCTATCATAAGGCATATGATGGTCAAGATTAACAACTACAACTAAGGTGGTCCAATCACCTTTTTACTCTCTGTCCACAAACAACACTTCTCAAAGTATGTTATCTTAAAAAATTAGGATCATAGTAACACAGAACAGGGGAGGAAATTGCTTAGAGAGACAAGCACGAGCGCGCGCACACACACACACACACAGATCACCAATAATAGGGGGAAAAACCTTAAAAACCAAATAGAATTGGTAACTGGTTATAAGAACTTCATAAGATGTAAGTACACAAGATTGGTAATTGGTTACAAGATCTTCATATAATGTATAAGTTGGCAATTATAATTCCATTATTTTTACATCAGAAAGAGGTGTATTTTAATTACATGTTTTGAACTTACTGTAAGACAACAATCCAGTTTTCTGTTTTACAAAATATTTATTAACTATTTCTGCATTGTTTTATAAATAACCATCTTTCACAAAAAATTTTAAATTATTCTTTCATAAATTACATGTTGCTATAATAGGTCTGTTTTTCTGGTTTGAATTCTGTTCCACTGTTCTACATGCTACTCCTATGCTATATTACTGTCTTAAGTGCTAAAGTCTTATATTTTATTAATTGACCATTCAAATCATCTATCCTCCTTTTCTAAATTTTCATCACTTTTCTTTCTTTATTTTATTTTTATTATATATATATATTATGTATATAATATATATATATATTTTTTTTTTCCTTTTTCTTTTTTTTTTTCTGGTGGTGGTGCTGAGTATGGAACTCAGAGCCTTGTACTTGCTAGGCAAGTGTTCTACCACTAAACCACATCACTAGCCCACAATTTTCTCTCTTTTTATTGTTTCACAGAAGTAATGAAAAGTTCCAGAAAGAAAATCTATTTGAACTATATTTAGAGTACTGAGGAGCCAGTGAAGATTCATACATCTTGCAAGATAAATCAGAAGAATTGTATTTAAAGACGAACTCAAAGTACTGAGGTTAGATTGAAAAAATAGCAAAAATAATGAGAGAGGAGAAAACAAATGAGAGGAACTGATAACCTCATCAGGAATCACATGAGTTCTAAAAGTAGAATATACAATGGGAACCAGTCGAATAATTGGTCCAACTCATATCTGTCTTCAGAATTCTAGACTTGACTATCTACCTCTTTACTTTCAACATCTCCATTTGGATATCTAATGGATGCCTCAGCTTACCATATCTGAAAACCACACTCCTGGCATATTCTCTCTCATCTCCACATCTCCTTTTCTACATTTCCTCAGGAGCCGGGTATTCTCTTAATGCAGCTGCACAAGTCAAAGAGTTTATACTTCAACTATTTCTCTATCAACCATATCCAAGTCCATCAATGAATCCAGTTGACTCTAATCCCTAAACAGCTACCAAACTAATTTCTCCTCACCACCTCACTAATTACTATTATTCCCCTTCTTGGGAATACCTGTGTGGGAGACCAACCTTGCACGTGACTGAGTCGCACTCCCTGGCTGGGTGCGGAGGCCCTCAGTCACAGAAATGTGGCAGAGCTTTCCCCACCCTTCTGTCTCCTGCATGGGTGTGTTTTGCTAGGCCCTATGGGTGAAGCTATGCTCACCTGTTCCTTTGTAATATAACCCCTTGCCCTGTTTAGGATAGAATCTTCCATGGAAGTGCCTTGTGTGTGTCCCCTTCTCTTACTGTGCCCTTGGGTGTGGCCTACCCAGGTGTCAGTCAACCTGCTGACAGWGGACATCATGAAGATAGACTCAGCCCCCAGAAACCTGACCCCTTGCCTCATTTGAATAGCTTCTCTTCAATAAAAGAGGTSAGCGCGTGCTCCATCTCTCTCTTCCTGYGGACCCTTAAGGTCAGAGGGGCCATCAGAGCGACCTCAAAGAAAAAGGTATTTGTGTCTCTTGTGTGGTTATTTTGTGCAGCCCAGTCAGCCCAGTTCAACTGGAGTAAACCCTGAGCTTTTTAGTCGTGAGAACAGAAACCTGGCATACCTGGTTCCCAGCTGTTTCCTAACTAATATCTCCACTTCCAGGCATAACTAACTACAGTCTCTTTACCATAATGCAGCAGAAAAATACTCTTAAAACTTGCTGGCAAAGTCTACTTTTACTACAAGCCCCTCACTCAGCACTCACCATTATTACTCTGCATTTTTCTCCTCCAAAGTACTTTCTTGGCATATGTCATAAATTTGATAATGTCTTTTTTTCCCTCCATTAGAAAGTAAAAAATCTTAGAGGCAGAAACTTTGTTTATCACAGTATCCATATTAGCGACAGAAAAGACAGGAATTTGCACACTAAATATCATTCATGTGGATTATCAGTTGTAGGTAGGTAAGCAGAAATCTGCAGAATAAAGGAAGAAACTCAGGCTTAAGCAACCAGGTAAATGATGGTATGGTTTGTTTAATTTATGAACAAATGATGACCACATTTGAAATAGCCCAATTTTAAACATGTTCAGTTTTAGGAGCTCATCTATATCCACCTGAAAATGTACAAGAGGCAACAGGATACAGATAAGGAGAAAAGAAATCCAAACTGGAGATAYAGGCATCATTCTTAATAGTTTCTCCATTGACAGTTAAGGTCCCATGGGTACCATATAATACACATGTAACTCCTTCTCCCCAATATTTAAACTTTTTGTATTTCTATATTAGTTGAAATATTCAGAAAAAAAAAACTAATAACAATACTAGTTCATTTCCTTAATATGACCAAATAACAACATGCTACTCTTTAGAAAATATATGTAATTTTTTCTCATCAATTATCAAGAGAAGGTAGAATCTAATTTTTAATTGAAGTTGATTTTTTTTCCATCATCATCAGTATCCGTCCTTCGAATTCTGAAGCATTTTTCTAGTCTAACAAAAGAAAATAATCTTAAATTTTAAATACCATTTACTGAACACCTACTAAGTACTGCACTCACAGTTTCTGCTTTGGTTCATTATAATTCTTGTAATCAGTTCATTTTATAATTCTTGTAATCATCATCCTACTACTATGACTGTTAGCAACATATCTCTCATGAGGAAAAAAAATGCTAAGGGTAATTTTGAGCAGCAGATCTCATAAAAGAATGAAGATTACCTGACTTAACTCTGGATATCTTTTACTAGTTATAAAGGATCCTTGTGTCACATTAAAAAAAAAAAAAAAGTTTACAAGCAACCCTGACCAGTTCACCTTCCAAACCAGAGTCCGAAGTAATTTTTAACAATTCTGTCTTTTTAATAAAAAAAAAAAAAACGATGATTTAGACTCATTGAGTTTACCACATCAGCACATTCATGATGTAATAAATGTGTGATTTTCTTCTGTCTTTACTGTCCAGAGTTGTGTGTGAACCAAAGTTACATGGAAATCCATTGAATAGGAAAATTTGATATTTGGGAACTTCCAGTGACAATCACACTGGTTAAGACTGCCCAGATACATGTGAATTTCTATTCAGCTCTGCCAGGTACCACATAGCACCTGAGATGGGGTGATCTGCTGTAGCCACACAGCCTCTCAGAGATGGGTATAGCATGCCAAGATGTCAACTTTAGGAAGCAAGACTCCACCCCCTGAAACCTTATCCCTGCCTTTGATGCACCCCCTTAAGTAAACCACCTGAGACATTTTTATTTTTTTAACTGCTCTAGTCCATCTCCTACCAGGACTAGACAATCTATCAGGTGCTCTGCTTTAAAGCCTATTCTGGCTCTTTTATTTCTTTATTAATTATTTCATACTGTATTTTTTCAGGTGGCTTATACCCTCTGGGCAAGAAAAATGACCCTGAGAGCCAGTGGAAGCCTTTCGATACTTTACTACTTTACAAAGAACAGAATGTAAAGAGTGAGAATGTGGGCAAAGGGGTAGGAAGAAATAGAGTATACTAACAAAGAAAACAACAGGAATCAATAAACCAAGACTGAAAAATGTTTATGTTAATATGATACCAGATAATGAATCTGTTATCCAAATAGACTTGAAGTGGTAGGAGAGGGACCTTTCATATAGAAAATTTAGCCAAAAAAATTCATCCACATAAAGGACTGCCTCAAATGAATGAAAAACAAGGAAAAGCGCTTATGGAAAAGCAGAATTTAAATGTTGGCAACCACTATGGTTTGAGTGTGTATCCAGGAATTTGCGTGTTTGTAGTTAGTTGGGGATGTTAAGAGGTGTTG